GATTCCCGCCCCCCACCCTTATCTGTGAGTTTTGCTGCTGGCATCCCGCATTTTGATTGGAATATTATTGATCTTCCATTGTTTTTAATTCCCACTTGTTTCTCCTTCTGCTCCAAAAATATCTATGGTGGCCCTCTTGGGCCCCCTACCCATGTCAGCCTGGGGCCCCCAGAGAAGTTAGTCCCCCCGACATTCATTTTGCAATTATAGGGACAATTAAATCTGATGCAAGGGATCAAAAGAGGTGAAATGTAATATAGGAATGAAATTTATATACAGTTTATTACATTTGTATATAACGTATATTTTTGCATGTGTAGTGACTCTTGCCAGTTCTGGAACCTGAATGTCATTTATATAGGTATTGCTACACTTTCTGTTCATGAACGTCTTTGTTTCTCCTCATATGTCTTTTATTACCGCTGTAGTCCGGGGATTATGGTCATACAGTATGTAGCTGGTGTGTTTTTCCCCATTGAAGGAAGAAAGACTCTATTGAGCTGTATGTTCAGGGTGAATTTAGAATGGAAGACTTTATAAGGGACTTTTCTCTGGAGGGTTCATATCTTGCCGTCATTTAGATAAATATGAAGGAATAAGGGAAAATAATGATTGTATACTTTGGACCAAGCTAGACCCTCTGGGACTAAGAACTGAATTTAGTGTCTTGGGTAATAAAATGTTCATTAAAGGCTAGGTGACCACTGTTTTTTTTTTTTGGAAAGGTTTTTAATGACAACAAACTCATTATCTGCACAAACTAAAAGGAATGAAGAATGGAGAAAAAGTTCTGTCAGAAATCCAGCGAACTCTGCCTGCTGTTCTCTGCATTATTATTTATTATCCAACCAATCACATTTTAATTGGTCACCTGACCTTCTTTCCCATAATTCTGGCCGATTTGCCCAAGGTGAAGCTGTTTTTTCGACCAGGCTTCGCTCTTTTTTTAAAAGAGCAATTACGTCAAATTTCTCACGGTGTATTAATCTATTTTGGTTTTTTACCATTGATGGATCGTCTTCACATCACACCAGTTCTCGAAGACATTTGTCATTCTTTAAGCAAATGTCAGGTACTTTGATGCATAGCACTTTTCCTGGAGATAATTGTGTAGGAGTGAGGTGTTTCTGAAGACTGGAGTCAAACTGCAATTCACCAAAACCCCCAATCAATCCCCAACTTATTTACGCCTTAATAAATCTCATGCTGCTCTCCAAAATGCTCAGAACCACTATTCTCTACCGTATTATTGTTCAAGTTCAAGTTTATTTATATAGCACATTTACAGACAACCACTTGCTGTCCCAAAGTACATATAATAAAAACACGCAGCATCAAACATATGCAGCAAATTAATAATAAGAAGCAAAGAGTAAAAAGAAAATGTCATATTACAATTAATCAGTATAACTAAACTATAAAATAAATAATAATAAATGTCAAGCACAACTGGAATTAAAAGACAATTCAAATAAATGTGTCTTAAGTAGAGACTTAAAACTTTCAAGGGTCTGATCAGCTCTGATATGAAAGGGAAGAGCGTTCCATAGTTTAGGGGCAGCGACTGAGAAAGCTCTGTCGCCCCTGGTCTTTAATCTAGAAGTTGGAACATCTAGAAGCAGCTGAGATGTTGACCTCAATGCTCTGACTGGAGCATGTTGGTGTAACAACTCCGTCAAGTAATCAGGTGTCTTTCCCTGAAGTGATTTAAAATCAAGTAATAAAATCTTAAACTGGGATCCTGAAAATTACAGGAAGCCAGTGCAAAGAGGCCAGTACAGGAGAAAGATCAACAAACGTGCTGCTGCATTTTGGACCATCTGCAGATGATGAAGGGGCGACTGATCTAGCCCATAATATAATGCATTGCAATAGTCTAACTGGGACGTAATAAATGCATGGATGACTTGCTCAAATTCGTTTTGAGGAAGATAAGGCTTTACCTTTGCTAAAGTCCTCAGATCATCCATGATTAACATCCTTTAGACAGTTTTGCAAGGCAATAATTCCATCCTTATTTGTTTCGATCTCATGGTCGACTGTGTCAAAGGCTGCCGGCGGGTCTAAAAGCACCAAGACAGCTGGGCTCCCAGAGTCAAAAGTTAAAAGTAAATCATTAAAAACTCATTCAAATCATTAAAAATCATTTAAAAAGTGCTGTTTCAGTGCAACGACATGATTTTAAACCAGACTGAAATTTGTCCGGGATGCCATTACAAGTCAAATAGGATTGCAGCTGTACATAAACTATTTTTTCCAAAACTTTAGACAGAAAAGGTAATTTGGAAATGGGCCTAAAGTTTGAAAGAACAGAAGGGTCTAAGTCATGATTTCTTAAAGGGGCAGTACAGTAGCATGTTGGGATACAGACTGAGGTGAGGGAGGTATATTGGTTAAGTTCATTATATAAGGACCAACAGTGTTCACAACCTTCTTCATAAGTGAAGGCGGAACACTGTCACCTGGGCAAAGTGCAGGTTTAAGTTGATTAACTATGACTTTAAAAAAACTAAGGAGGCACGAATATCTGCCCCAGAAACTGCTTTGCTTGATTAATTGGTTTCAACAGCTTAGCTTGTTCCTGTCAGAAACGCTCATTTGCAAGGCTTGACTGTGATAGTGTTTCTGACGTCCAGGTGAACTTTGAGATGACTTCTTGCCGCCGGATATTGGGTTTCGCTTTGCACAGAGGATCTTGCTTTTGCCCGCTGGGAAACCCGCTGCGGTGGAGCCCTGAAACGAAATGTGAGACAACGGGACACGGAGCGAATGACTACTGAAAGAAGCGCGGAGGTGAAGCTGCCGGCTGGTGCGATCCGGATGGGCATGCTCTGGCGACTTTGACGGTAATGGTTCCCAACGTGAAAAGCTACGCTTTCTGGGAAACATGTTTCCCATTACCGCTTTGCGTTAAACTGCTCAGACACAAACGTATCAGAGCGGATTATACCGTCAGGGTAAATCACACCAGGGAAATGCTGTCCGTTCTTGTAGCGTTACTTCATTCAGGTGATCCATGCTGGAACTGCCAAGAAAATGCCTTGATTGTTTACTCAGGCACTTAAAAAATACCAAGATGGTGTAAATCCCACGGAGGGGTGTCATCTAAGCATCATTTTATAAATTGTGTGTTTGAGGTGCATCGCATCTATTCAGCAGCACCTGAGGGGAGGGGTCACCGATTAAAGGAAGAGGAAACCCACGGTTCCTGGGTCTCAGCGCAGCACAACGTTTTTCCTGTAGCTGTAGTATCTTTGAATATATTGTCATTAATAATGAAAATTACAGATTATTAATGGCGACACTTTTGCAATGGATCAACTAAACTGCCTACTTGTCAAGTCCACTTCCGAAGGTCTTAACTATTAACATCCTATTTTGCCTCCATACTTGTTCCACTGGGTTTAAGGTTTTCAGTGGGAAAAGAGAAAGTTCAAGTCGTGGTGAATTATAGCAGCACTGTTCCATCGTTCTCATTTATACGACTGTTGTACATCCTCCATGTGCCTCAGGAGGACAGGACAGCACCTTAAACCACGGCTACTCCTCCACCACTGCGCACAAGTGACGGAAACCCAATAATCCATCCTAGACTTTCCCTTTTTTCCAGAGAGACGGTTAAGATTTATGAGGCTAGAAAGTACAACAGAAGCACTGTGAAGAGTTCAGGGAACCTGAATAGTTTTCTCTGTCTATATCAGTGCTTGAAATGGGGAAAGACAGGTGTCCGTACTCCCTCTGTTATTCGGAACCAGGTGCCGGTTCTCCCCTCGTTATTCGGTACCAGGTGCCGGTTCTCCCCTCGTTATTCGGAACCAGGTGCCGGTTCTCCCCTCGTTATTCGGAACCAGGTGCCTGTACTCCCTTCGTTATTCGGTACCAGGTGCCGGTGCTCCCCTCTTTTATTCGGTACTAGGTGCCGGTACCCCCCCCCCCTTTTATTCAGTACCAGGTGTCGGTACTCCCCCCTTTTTTTCGGTACCAGGTGTCGGTACCCCCCCCTTTTGTTCGGTACCAGGTGTCGGTACTCCCCCCTTTTGTTCGGTACCAGTGGCTAGAGTGGTGCCAGTACTTTGATGAGAAACAAAGAATACTGGCCTACTAACACAGATCTATGTATACATACCTATCCTATATATTTGTTTTTGTTTGTTTACTTAATTGCCTTAAATTTTGTTAACATTTAAATAGCTGGATATTTTTACGCTTACGCTTACGCTTGAGTTTGTTAGGGTTTGGCTACCAGTCAAGTTATCTTTAGTAAACTATCTTTGGCAAAAAACCCCGATTGCTAGTAAAATCATGGGTATAAAAATTATATTTTACTGCAAGGCCTTTTATTTCAATATTTTAAAGGATCTGTCGAGTTTTTTTGTGTGAATCCTTTTGTCTTACTGAGACATTCCTGCACACTATTCTACACATGCATCAGTGGAGGAAAACTTCTTTGAATTTTATTTAAAAAAAAAAAGACGAGAAGAGACTTTCAAAGTTTATTGAAAAATTACGTGAATTCAAACGATGTATTAATGCAAGTTGTATACAAAGTGAAGTACAATTTATAAGCTAAATACAACATCATAGATGCAATATACTTGTATAGGAAGCTGCCTTACAGAATAAAAGGTTTTCTTCACATTGTGTGGGAAAATAGGGAGAAGAAAATGACTTACTACAGTACAACCAATCAGTCTATAACGAGGCCAGAGTCTCTTTTGGCTCTTAAACATCATTGGCAAAGGTAATAAATCCCATAAAAGCCAAAAACGATTCAATTTCTCATGACAATTACCATCCACAGACAGACTTACCGGACAGACATATTGGGAAACTTTCTACATGTCTATCACGGTGCATTAAATTACTACCCATTGTTCAGTACCCATTTCCTTTAACTTATTCTTGTCTGCCTGTCCATAAATGCACTCACAATCCAGTCTTGCTTTTAGTAATGCACAATGTACACCTTCATATGGGACAATGAGCCTACAAGTTTAAATCCTTGTAAGGCAGCTGTCTTAACGTGGAAATCCCAAACGGAATGAGGCTGAGTCCTATTTGTCACACAAACATTACAAATAGTCTGGCTGTTTTCCAAATGTCTCCTCATTCATTACATCGCTGTACAAAGATCTACTCTGTCTTACTCATTGCTTGATGTTATTTTTCTTAATTTCTTAATTATTCTTCTGAATTAAGTATGACGTAATTTTGATGGCTGATGTCAACATCCAGGAACAGAAAGCGTTTCTCTAATAAAAAAGTTTTTTCTAATAAAACATTCAATTAAATGCTCATTCTCAATTAAGATTTAAGTAACATTAACACAGATCAGTGTAAACAACCAACGTCTGCGAAAAGTTTTGTAATACTGTTAAGAACAGTACATTCTTGGCATAACCCTTCATATTGTACTGTCTGAAATGGAATTACACTAAAATAATATTTATTAATAAAGGTTACGTATTTCATGCTAACTGCTTGGAAGTGAAAGCAGATAAAAACATGGGAAACGACGGAGGCCCTGTCACGTCACCGAATCGCCAAATTGGTGTAATTGTACTGAAGTCATTCAGGATAAATCTCCCCACTGAACCTCACTATAAAAACAGTTTTGCTGCTCTGAAAAAAAAACCATGGAAAAGGGAATCCCAGACGGTCATGCATCCCCTCGAAGGAAAAAAACAAACAGGATTTTGCATCGCGATTGTTAAAGTGCACAGCAAAACCCGGGTGTGAGCGATTACTGCCGCAAACACCCCATGCAGGGACCCTAAGAGCGATACAGTCCTGATCAACCGCCCGCCGTCTTTCCTGCTACCTGCTTGTGGTAACGCAGTGCAGCGTGTCTTACGTCCCTCACACTGGGGAGGGAGGGAATGCAGACCTTCCCACGATTCTTGAGCAGACTGAAGATGTACTAAAAAAAACTTTATTTAAAGTCATGGCTTGTATAAGAATCTTAGTGTGTGTTGATTCTTTTGTGGCTTTTAATATTACATTGAAGTGCATCAGCGACAACAGGAATGTCTGACTGCACAACGTCATTCGAGTGTAAAATAGGGCTCCCTTGTTCCACAGGTTCATCTATGCAATTGTTAAGCACTTAAAAGCACTTAAATCCCCAGACCATGCAACAAAGACGCTGGTGCAAGGCTATTGGCTATATATATACGGCCTGACTGTGAACAAAAAACTACTCTGAATAGCCCATTCCTGCTTTTCAGTAAAAAATATATATTTCTTATGTACATCAGACGGACGACACTGACACTCGGACACACATATATAATTGCACTTTGCACTAAAGGAAAAGTGTCTGCAGGGGGCGGTGATGAGCCACAATCTGACTCGATGCTGCATAAACGTGACTGGTGGGTAAGTGCTGGCTTGGCAAGCAGTCCCGGGAGGTAACGAGTGTTGTGTATTTGTGTGGCAGGCTGCGGGGGGGTGGGGGGGGCACAGAGCGGTCCCGCAGTGTCCCTAAGTGGATCGTCGTCTGGTCTTCTTCACCCTGTTGGGGGGGGGAGAGAGAAGAGGTTGAGCGGTAAAGGAGAAGCACAGCTGGGCAGCACCTTACCGCGACATCCATGACAGTTCCTGTTGAACTGCTGGCCACCTGAGGGTTGGGGGACATGGAGCCACCAGCAATCTGTTTGATCCACCTAATCTAGCAGTAAAATACACTTTCAGCTAGATTCTGCCCGTCTTCAACACGTATCTCAGCCCATCCCTCCCGCCAGAACCACGAGCTGCATCGGGCTCTGTAAGCCCTTCTCATCTGCGTGTGAGAGGAACATTGCTGAGGTCCTTTGGACCTGCATCAGCATCTGGGTTCCTGACGTGCTTCCCGATGCAATTAACGCTTGTTAAGCACCTCGTTCATTTGAGGAAGTTACACAGAGCCACTGGGGGGAGTTGGGGGGGATTTATGTTCTCTGGGACGCTGTAAAGTCATCCTGCAGTGACTGTGGTTTCACAGCTCAACGGGGGGAGCCCTGCAACATCCTGAAGGAAAGACCACATCAACATACATAGACCCTCCACTTATCTCCGTTTAATTAACCGCGTCGTTAATTAAGAAACGCCGGGAGCATCCTGTGACGTTACGGACGCCGTGTGATCTTTGGCCGCCGACATAAAAGGGCCTGAATCCACAAAGGGGCCGGTGCCCCGAGGTGACGGCCTCACCGTCCAGCTTCCATCGGTCCTACGAGTCACAGCTGGAAGAGTTTTAAGAGTCACAGCTGAATCGTGGCTGTCGAGGGACCGCATGGCCAGGCAGCCAGGCATGCCCCAAATCACCAAGGTCCCGGTCACCAGGCAGACCATCAGCTTAAACACGCCACAAACGACTCTCCAGTCGGAGTGCCGGCTTCGATTGCTCTGATTTCTAAAGAGCAATGTCACCCCCCCCCCCCCCCAAAGACGTGCCAACATGTGGGGAGGGGAGCTGTTAGCATAAGTTCCCACACAATGGGACCATGATGGGGGGTGGAGACATTCATAGACATTCATCTGTCTTTGTACAAAACCGTTACACTTCGTAAACACCCGCATGCACGGCCATTATCGGTGGGACCTGACGTGCTTTTGGGTCGTTTGCACGGTTAACAAGCTCAAGGCCGGTCTATTCTCAAGGGAGGGGGTGCGTAGAAACGCTCATTATTGGAGCCCTTGTAAGTCAAAAGCCTGTGTCCGTGTGTGTGGGGTGATACAGACAGCAGGCACAGCACACAGCTAGTGAGATAACAACAAAGGATCATGGGGTTTCAGACGCTAAGACTGCAGCAAAGTTACAACATTTCCCAACCCTGTCCTCGGGGAACCCCAGACAGTCCACGTTTTTGCTCCCTCCAAGCTCCTAGCCAATCAAGAACATCGAATACCTGGTACAGGTGTGTTGGGAGTCGGGAGAGAGCAAAAATGTGGGCTAGAGCATGAGGTACTACGGATACTAAAGCTAAATATTAAAGCATCTTTTGTCACGCAGGTGAGAAACGCAGAAAAGGAAATACCGGGGTCATTTATTACCCCGTTTTCGTGCGGCTGTTTTCCATCAAAATTTAACGTTAAAGGTCTGGAGACAAATCCCGAAGGGGCAAAGCGTTGGACCCGTGTGCCGCCACGGAGAGGAGCCGCACGAAAACGGGCGTATTTCATTCTGCGTTTCTCACAGTTACCCGCTGCTCCTCTTACTTGTATCGAACGGTTTCGCCTTACTTGTTCAGGGCATTCTTCAAGTACTGCTGTAGCCATTTAGTCTCAGGGTTAATGCAGACCTCTTTGTTGTTCTTCAGCTTGGCGCTGCACAGGGGAACCGGCAGGGAGAGAGAGGAAGACACGGATTATTTTCAGCATTCAAACAGCGGTGGACCCCTCCGCCAAACCCCCCAACCTGCACATTTATCTGTGCTGTACAGCCCTTGTTCCTGTGCACTGAGACCCTAAGAGACACAAAGACCTGGGAGATTCTTATCTTCACTGATAAACCTGCCTGGTCTTTGACTAGTTTGACCCACACATATTCACCGCCGCCCCGTGAATCCTGGGACCGAAGTATGGAGCCACGTTTAAGAGAGAGAAAAGGAGGGGAAAAGAAATGTTTTTCTTTATGCCAATTATCCCATAATCCCCTGTCCAGATTCTGGAACATTTTTGTGTTCATAATAAATTAAACGGAAACCACACACCACTAGATATTGGACAGACTGTCATAAAGCCCTGATTCCGCAAGCTGCAGTAACGTTTTTGCATTTTAGTGGTTTGTATAACCCTCTTATTTTTGTCAAACGTTTATTTGCTAAGTAATATCTATTAGTGTCTTTCAATCTCTTGGGTTGTGGCTTTGAGGTCTAAAATTTATAATTCATTTATTAAGAATGTCATTTTTCTAGAATAGACTCTGAATAAAAACAAACATCCATCCGTCTTTTACCTGCTTATTCTGCTCAGTGACATACAGATAATCAGCACCATGCACCAAATTACTGAACATGAAAGAAATCCTGTTTTTATCAAAAGTAATGTTTTTGTCTTGCTTGGCGTTATTATATCCCACTGGATCTCTTACACTGAAATTAAGACTGACAATTTAATTTCTCTGAATTACTAAACTGGTACGAAAATGAATTCCGCCCCGAGTTTCCATCTGTGGGTTGTGAAAGACTAAACAGAATTTGATTACCATACATTTATTTCCTTTATGAAGGTGTCACAGAGCAGAACTGCATACACCTCTGCGTGACATATGCAAGAACCATGTGTGCAGCCTCAAAAAAACTGGCCTTATAAAAGTAGCAGAAAAAAACCTAAATGGAAATTGAAAAATGCAGCATTTTTACAGTCAGTAGCGTGGGAGGTGGACTTCTTAGTTTACTTACAAACAGATGTGTGCAGGAACGTTGCCAAAAAACAAACATCTTAATCTCACATTTGGCCACTGGTGACCAGGAAAAGCAAAGCCTCGAGGAATCTTAGCATTCGAACATCCAATTATTTATGAGACGAGGTTCAAAGGACCAAGACATTTTCCAAACAGTTGCCCGTCGAGCGACGGCTGCCCTGAACATTTGCCCCGGGGGACGTCGGGCAATCAGACGCCCTCCGAAATATTTGTGACCCCGGGAGTTTGAACACGGGATTTCACACCCGTGCACCAAAAGGTCACGCTTCAGTCAGCAGCTGCAAGTGGCAGGACCCGCCACCAGAGTTAACCCCCCGCATCCTAAAATGTAAAATAAATTTGGGCAAAACCACTAGAAAGACGGGGAGTTTGTAACAACTCATATGGTCTGTTAAATGCACAAGAAATGTTTTCATTTCAGATGTGTGATTCTTATTTTTATCCTAACAGATAAACTGTTTGTCATCACTTCTATCAGTCAATACATGTCAGTGATTTTCGGGGGCAGGGGGGGGGCAGTAGACAGGGGGGTTGTGGGGGGCTGGGAGGGAATTTTCAGATTCTGGAGAGAAGTCAGCAGGTAGTAATTACTCACAGTGAGTAAAACCCGAGAGCAAACAAGCAGATTGTACTACTGCTTTCATCTCCGCCGTTTAAGATATCATGCCGGGGAGGGATGGGGGGGTGCAGTGGGGGGGGGGGGTCCATCTGCTCTGCTGCCTTTGCAGCCTGAAATGTCACTCCTCAGTTAACTGCATGTAGGCCTGTCCTTTGCTCTGAATCTACTGTTCATTGACACTACGGTCTGCAGACAGATGCTGTGTGGGCGCGACGATATGAAAATGGGGA